AGCGTTCTTAGAGTGCCCTCTCAGATTATCAGTTTTAGATGAACGAAAAGGATGAGTCATATTAATACCAAGGCCACTGTTTGATTTATCGTAAGTCAGTATTGGTGTTATGACAGAGTCGCCAATTGTTGTGTTGTCGTGGTCATTTGTGATGGCGGAATATCTTATTAATTATACTTGTAATACGAGGAATCACTGCAACTCCCACAACGCTAAGTAAGGATAACAATACTGGTACAAGTCGAGGTTTATTAAACCAAAATCACAACGACTCTAGTCGTAAATACACTCTTTTATACGTTGATTGTACACCCAATTTGATCATTAATTAGGATGAAATCATATATACGAAAAATACATAGAGTTACAACAAATCACATGTTGCATGCCGTACTGAGCATAGTCCATGTTAATTCGATACAAGATTATCGTATCTTGAACGAATATCACACTCAAACAAACTAATGTTGCACCTAATAACACATGACACTGGCAAACAAAACAAATACTACTATGAGTGATTTTCACATAGAAACTGAAGTAATGTTCAAGGAAAATCACAATGCGAAAAAGAATGTCCCGTCATGTCACCTCCTCTTCTTTTTAATAGAATACGTATGAATATGTTTCCTGTGGAGTGTCTTTTCGAAAGATTATTGTTCCTTCTCGTACTCTTTGGGATTTCGGCCGGTCACGTGGTAGTTTTCCACCTCCATTTGGGGTTTTCAGCTTCATTTGAAAGAAATCCACTTAACCTTCTCTTCTTTGCTTTTCTGTTCGATCAATATTTGATTCGCTCGAACCGACAAAACACTGTCTGATCTTCACGTACCAACGTTAGAAATAATGTGACTTTGTTGACCTAAACTGTCCCAACACTACTCACGTCTTCATTATATTAGAGTATTGGGGCGTGTGGGCATACGTGAAAATGAAAAGACTCTTGTGTTATATTAATCTGTATGGGCAAGATTACACGTTGTACTCTTTCCATCTTTCATACGAAAAAGACGATACCATTATCACATTCACAATATAAATAGGCACATTTTACACTTCGACTTGACAGTAACAATGCATATGATTCATGTAGTTTCCCTTTGTCTCCAGAGCACTTGAATGGGACATTTGTATGTGCTTCATACTCAAAGGTTCGGTAGGTGGCTGCATTCTGCATACAAGTATGCTACAATTGAACCGACTTGACTTACTAAAGCAACGTTTACCTTTTTGTATGTGACATTGACTTTGTCTGAATAAACAAGGTAAATATCATCATATTCGTCGGGTATTTGTAGATAACTGTAACAAATACTGAATTTTGGAGTACGATCATCACAGTTCTCCAAAAACACTGAGTACTTTGCGCAAATTAATCATATGTAATATTTTTATTGGGATGAAAGTAGAACACTGCATATATGATCATCAAAATTAAGATAGAACCTGAAGCCAATGTTGAAAATTACCTGCCCATACTCATTAACTCAGTGGTATCTAGAGTAGAAAAAGTAGTATCTGCTAGTGTGTTGAAGGGAGTGTGATTGAAGGTGTGTAGCTGCTTCAATAGGTGCGTAGCGCTTCATACCTTGCAGTGATCTGTTGAGGATTCGTGAATGAGCGCCTTGAGCTAGGGTGGGTTCGGTAAAATTAATGAGGTTAGCATCAGTGTCGAAGACTTGGGGATTTATTTGTTTTGAAGATTCATTAAAATTTCTACTGCCATAGCACTGGATATACGGATAAATTGAGTTCTTAAGACTATTATTTTATCTTCTGTGTGTACTATTCCTACTGTCCACTGTGCCTTTCATTTCATGACCGAACGAACAAACGTATAGTGAAGCAACGACAGCCTATAAAAGTAGCCTCGCTCAAGTGGAATAAACCGACTATTTCTCAAAATATACCGAACTCCAACTAGCATTATTGCTGTAAAATATTTAATTTTTCAGCACTACCTAATATCAGAAAACTATTTAGGCTTAGAAAGTCAGGTCTTGGAAGCCAATGCTTCCGAGGTCTGTATGGGTTGAACGAATGATTCCCTAAACACCTTAGGTGTGTGCAACACGAACGCTCGTAGTCTTAGAAATAAAACGTCCGAGCTAAGTCTGATGGTGCAAGAATTATGTCCCGATATAATCGTTGTTACAGAAACTTGGTTCACCGTTGATATAGACTGTTCTCCTTTCATTGCTGGTTATATCTGTATCAGAAGTGATAGAGTTTCAAGTCGCAAGGGGGAGGTATAATATTATACGTTAGGGATCACTTTCGTATACAATCAACCATATCGGAGGCTCATATCAGTGGCACATGTGAGGTTGCATGTTGTAAGATTAAATCTAGAAATGGGTTAGTGACTATAGGGGGAATATACCGTAGTCCGTCTTGTCTGCTGACGACTTTATCCTAAGACACATCTGTTCTTGGAGTATGGCAGAATGTTGTCTCATCATTGGGGACTTCAACGCACCGCATATCAACTGGATAGAGCTTACAGCTCCAGGTAGTGGTTTCGATAGCGACCTTTTATCTACCGTTATTCAGTGTGCACTTGTACAATGTATCACAAAACCGACACATATTGATTTGCATCATGATCCGTCACTGCTGGACCTCGCCCTCACCCACCACTCTGAGGATGTCTTTGATATCCAGCACCTTCCTCCACTAGTGAACAGTGATCACGTTGTAATTCACTTTAAGTTTAGGACACATGGTATACAATTCGTATCTGCTCCACCCCGTCCCAATATCTGGCGAGCTAATATTCCGGAAATCAGAAACTGTGCTATCTCGACTGATTGGTCGGTCGACGCGGATGGATTGATCGAAGATGAATGGAATAAGTTTAAGGCTACATTCGAGTCCGTAACGTCGCCGTTTATCCCATGGTCAGCACGTAAGCTATCACATTGCCCTCCATGGATTAATAAGGAAACCCGGAAGCTGTTAAAGCGTAGGAAACATTTCTGGGACTTATTCTTGTTGACAGGTCATGCACCATTTAAGCGTGAGTACCAAAAATACCGTAATATCTGTAAGAAAACCATAGCGAAATCCCGTACCACTTACGAACGACAGTTAGTATATGATAGCCGTACTTGTCCGAAACGATTGTTTTCGTATGTTAAACGGCAAATGAAACGTAGTGATGGTATTCCCCCGTTACTGTTACACGAAAATTCAGAATTACTAGCTGAATCAGATCGAGCAAAAGCTGAGACTTTTTCAGATTATTTTAGCGAAGTCTTCTCTACGTTTATTGTAACAAATACTTGTCCCACTCACACCGAGATACCAACCATTGAATCTGTACAGGTGACTGAGGAAACTGTCCTTCCGTTGATAACTAACCTCAAACCTGGTAAGATACCGGGCCCTGACGGGTTACATCCACGGTTGCTGTCATCTCTTGCGGACATTATTTCAAAACCGCTTGCGACACTCTTCAACATGTCCCTCTCACTCGCTCAACTCCCTAGAGATTGGAAGGACGCTATAGTTAGTCCTATATTTAAGGACGGTCAGCGACAGATAGTATCTAACTACCGGCCTGTCAGTCTAACTAGCATAGTCGTTAAGTTACTCGAAAAGATAATTCGGGTTAGGTTGCTAAGCCACATAGATTTACACAATCTGTTAGCTCCTGAGCAACACGGATTTCGTAACAAGCGTTCATGCTTGACTAACTTGCTTATTGCGAGGGAGGATTGGACAGCAGCCCTAGATCACGGTCTGTCTGTCGACGTGATATTCATAGATTTTAGCAAAGCGTTTGACAAGGTTTCACACGTAGGTCTTATGCAGAAGCTCACGAGCTTCGGAATAATAGGTACTGTACATGAGTGGATAGGAAATTTCTTATGTGACCGCAGACAGAGAGTTAGGGTCAATGGAACGCTATCCGATTGGAAGCCGGTCAAAAGTGGTGTACCCCAAGGCACCATCTTAGGCCCTCTGCTCTTCCTTCTCTACGTTAATGAGTTACCGCTGTTACTTAGGTCGTCGACATTATTGTTTGCAGATGATGTAAAAATCTGGAGAACAATAAAAAGTGCGGCTGATCATGTGGATCTTCAAGCTGATTTAGACGATTTAGTTAGATGGGCTCGAGAGTGGGGCTTAGAAATCAATGCTAGGAAGAGTGTACTAATGCACATCGGTCACGGTAATAGTTACCGTTACACTATTGAGGGTAAACCTCTTCCATGCGTTCAAGAGCATAAGGACTTAGGAGTAATATTAAGTCATGATTTAAAAACAACTGCGCATTGCAAAGCAGCCGCTGTCAAAGGTTTTCGTGCGTTATGGTCACTTCGCCGAGCGTTCAAATCTTTTGACGAGGAAACGTTTCGAATTTTATATCCCATATATGTAAGACCACATTTAGAGTACTGTATCCAAGCAGCTAGCCCGTGTCTGGTAAAGGATACTAACTCCCTTGAGCGTGTCCAGCGTGTGGGAACGAAATTAGTGAAGGGTCTTTCTAGACTCCCTTACGATGAGCGCTTAAAACGCCTAAATCTTTTCCCCTTGTCGTATCGTAGGACACGAGGTGACCTTATACTGGCATTTCGTATCTTTAATTATGATTTGGGTGTTAATATGTCTTATCTTTTTGCTCCCTCCAGCACTAATAATCTCCGAGGTCATAGCAAGAAGGTTCATAAACCACGATCTAATAAACTTAAAGTGGGATCCCGTTTTTCTCATCGAGTAGTCAATCATTGGAACGCCTTACCCGAACAAGTGGTATCAGCCCCATCAGTGAATACTTTCAAGGAAAAGCTGGACCTTCACTGGAAAGCAGTGCGTCAGGATTAATACATGTTCACCAACCTACTACTGAAGACTGAAGACTAAAGAAAGTAATCACAAAGTGTCCAGTTATCCAATATTTTAGTTTCTTGATTAGAAGCTTCACGCTAGTCTGTCTTTAAAATGTGAGAGATTGTATCAGTTAGCACTAGATTTTCACTATTAGATAGCCTTGAAACCTTTAACTCACTTTTTTGTCGGAGGCGGCAAAGTTAGAAAGTCACGACCTGAGTTTCGTAATGGTAAGGTGCGAATTCTTATATTTCTAGCGCCCGTAGGCTGAAGAAACCGTCAAGAAACGTAGACCCTTCAAGAAGTTCTTCTATCGAGGTGTTGATTTAGACCAGCTTCTGGATATGAACTTGTGAGTAGTTTTTTTAATATAACCGAAAATTTTTGTTAGGGATCAGTTAGCCCAGCTGATGCCTGCTCGGATACGCAGAAGAATTAAAAAAAAACTTCGTAATAAACACATGACGCTTCTAAAAAAGCTTAGGAAAAGCAAGAAAGAATGTCCTTTTGGTGAAAAGCCGGCTGTAAGTACCTTGTAAATATATTGTCTTCAGGCTGTCAAAACTCATATCAGAGATATGATTGTTCTTCCCGAGATGATCGGATCAGTTGTTGGTGTTTATAACGGAAAGTCATTTAACACTGTCGAGATCAGACCTGAAATGCTCGGCCACTACCTCGGAGAATTTTCAATAACCTATAAGCCTGTCAAGCACGGCAGACCTGGTGTTGGTGCTACTCACAGTTCCAGGTTTATCCCTCTTAAATAATATGTCCATGTAATAAATTGCTGGTCAAATCATCCTCTTTTTGAATAAATGACTGTAATGACATTAAATATACTTATCGATGGTAAGCACATAGTTTCAGTACGAAGACTGACGGATTGAGTGTTGTAACTGCTCCTAAGATTAGCGGGGTTTGTTCAGACAATTAGGTACGCTTTATGCTAATAATTGTCTTGCCAAGAAATTCCTCAGTCACAGTATCAGTCTAGAAAATATAGAAGGGCGGGTGACCTGTTTTAGTCCAAGCGGCGTTGGTCTCAGCCGATCCATCTTTTGAGTGCGTCAAAAGATGAAGTTTTAACCACGTGTTGAGTGAATGAGCTACATTGTTGATGACTCGAGAAAGTTGATAAGCATTTGACAAATAATTCGGGTGGGACTATTATTTAGGACCTAGGGACGCTGTGATCTTGAGGATACCCACCTACTAACTAGGACCAAATAAGGTTTATAAACCAGGGCGAAGGACTAGAATTATGATTTATAGTTGATCATTAAGGTTAGGAACTATATTGGGTTTTCATCACGAACTGAAACGATTTAGCCAAATGGGTGAGTATTTCCAGGAATTTCTCGTAAATTTCGTTTTGAGAGAGAAGGATGTTGGCATGTTATTCGCTAATTCATCATTAGATAATTTAGAATATGTGGTCAAGTCAGCTCTGCTCCTTCTATTTAGATAGTCTCGTTTACGGAAGTTTTGTACTCTGTATCTTTGCCATCAGTTCATTCTCTTATTTTGTACGGGATGGCTGCTTGTACGCATTATTCAGGTTTAGGCCAAATAAACACGGTAAAGTCTTAAAGGTCTCAAAAACATGACTTAATTTGGCATTCTTCCAGTTCTTTACTAATCTACCTTGGGTTATAAGTAGATCGAAACATGTTTAAGAGATTCGCGATAGAAATCTGGATTTTTGAGAATCTAGGTTGTATTCTATCGGGTCCAATGAATTAACCTATGTGAGATTTAACTAACCAAAATATTAAGTTTTTTCCATGGTCACGATGTCTAGAGTACGGATGCGGGGTTTATAGGAACCGGATGGGAAGGGGTCTCTACGGTATAGTATCTCTAAAGGTAGCTAGAGGATACTTGAGCTTCTTCGTAGTCGTCCTCTACCGGTGATGTAGTACTGTTGTAAACGAAGAACTCAGGTGGGCGAACCAATTTGTTCAGTTCGAAGTCACAGTGGTTCAGTAAAATGTGAAAACTATACATTAGATACGTAATTTGCACATCTTCGAATTTTTCCTTACAAACTTCATTGTTCCTTCATATCTGTTATCTCGATTGCTCTTAGTTTTCTGTGTTATCATTCTTCTGCTCTCAGGCGCTTCACTTCTAACCGGTGCTATATACTGTTCATACATATCAACATAAGTAACATGCATCAACGTATAGTCATATAATGCTGGGATGCCGCCTCTCCTTTTAGTTCATTGGTACGAATACAGGTGTTTTGGGTATCCCATAGACTACCACTACTTCATACAATCTTCTATACTTGCGTAGCGTTAAGGCACAAAAATGATAAACCATACATATATTATCCATTTGATAACGTGTTGACCCATTGAAAGAGTATAGTTAAAACGAACAATGTATTGCAAATAATTATCCAAACAAAAGGTATGATCATTGCGTCTGGATATACCTGACTGATCGCAATTAATTTGCTCTCAGTAGTTAGTGAGGCTCCTGAACTTTTACCGGGAGATTCACTTACTGACTTGGAAAATACCGATGACATAGTTCTTTTTGGTGAAGACGCTTACAGAATGCAGTCTTCTGACCACTCTAATCAACAATGCAAGCATATTCGGATGCGATTCCCTTCCTCGAAATGCAAAATGTTGCTTCAGGATTGGGTTGAACGGACACATGAACTAATGATAGGGAGTGGAGTAGTTGAGAGTGTCAACCGCTTCACTTATCTTGATAATCTCATCAACTCTTGTGTTCTGGTGTGTGACGAAATCTCAGCACGGATAGAGAAGGCTCAACTAGCTTTTTCTAACCTGAGTCATTTATGGCGTAGATGAGATATCCGTCTATCAACCAAAGGACGTGTTTACTGCGCAGCAGTTCGTTCCGTCCTACTTTATGGCAGTGAAATATGGCCGGTAAGAGTAGAGGATAACAGTAGGTTACTAGTATTCGACCATAGCTGTCTTCGAAACATTGCTCGTATATCCTTGGACCACCGAATAAGTAATGTAGTTGTTAGGAAACGGGTACTAGGTAAGGATGGCGAATCAATTGATGAATTAGTGAGACTTCATCAGTTGAGATGGCCGGGACACGTGTTACGTATGCCCAACCACAGACGTGCTATGTTTTATAGTTTAGGAATAGGTTGGAATAAAGCTAGGGATCGCGAGACCAAACATGGCACATATCCGTGAAGTCATTGACAAGTGGACTGAGCCATGTTGGCAGGTGTAGACTACCTGGTTGGGATTTGCGAGACGATGGGAATCGATGGTTAGAGACTTTGAATGACATGGCTCAAAATCGTTTGTGATAGCGCAGGTGCATCCACTCTTTGTGTTTTCCCATATTCCAATCTTCTGAATTCTTCGTACCCTTTCTTCTCTTTCCAGATTTATTTCACTGGATTATACTCCCTGAATAACATCTTCAAAAACTAATCTTTCTGATCATTGCTTATACTTTTACTACCTCTACCACCATAGGATTTGAATCGACAATTGTATCTCTCTGCTAATGTGGTATAGCAACTCGAACTGATGTACGTACGTGCGAAGTTGTACGTTGTGACTGACTGGGTGAAGCTCCTGTAAAAGTAACAGTCGAAATCCGTTTTCACCTCTATTAAGTGTTTATTGACCAATCTCTTCATAATCTTTTCTAAAGTAGCTATATCTTCTTATGCTTCACTGAATTCACTTTCTTTCATACCTTCACTTACATACCAATGAACAAATTCGTGTTCCGAATACATTAAATCAAGTTTACCATCCAGTTTCATCCATGCTTCTGAAATTGCAGTTGTATTACTTAGCATACGTACAGCTCTTTGATCTTTAGCTAAGTCACCATTATGTCTGGATGCTGGAGGTTGACAATTAACTGCAACTTTGAATCCAGTTGGACAACAAATTGGACTGTTCCGTTAATTCTTATACATGCGATGACCATATTAACATCTTTAGGAGTAACATCACGATATAATAAGCAATACGCCATATATTTCACAGTACGTAGGTCACGTTTAATCATTTGAAAGAAAATTAAAGCAGTGATGGAAGTAAAAATTCAAGCGATCAATCTCGTTAGATTTGAATAATTAGGTCTTCTTATGTTACGGCCCCCAAATGCCCGGGTACGGCTGAGGGTGGGAAGTCCGCTCTCCCTCCCGAAATCCTCTTACATGGTCACTCATATACAACCACTGTCAGGAAAGTCCTACTAATTTAGCACAGACTACTTACCATATTACAGTTGAGTTAATGAAGTGTTCACAGGTTTTCGCAAACTTTAGTGACACTATATATATATATATATATATATATATATATATATATATATATATATATATATATATATCCTGAACAATATAATTCAGTTAAATGTTTAAATAATCGGGGTCAACATTGGATGTTTGAAAGAACATATACAATCTGATGTTTTACTCAAAGATTTGATAGTTGCACGTACTAAGTTTAATGGAAGGAAGAAAATTTTAGTTATAATACGTTCATTTATGTTCATTTGGTCCTACCTGCCTTAAATTACACTTTCAGAAATTCTTAGCACATTAATTCGAATACTTTTAATTATCATATACAATCAACAACATAATAATCATAATAAGATATCAGTTTTATTATACTTTTTTTCATATGTAATAAACTAGAAGCAAGCTATATTTGTTCAACAAATAATTATAATAACTTGTGACACCTGTTCTCTTATATTGATAATGTTACATATGTATGTATGCTAGGCTATACATTTGAAAATCATTACATATACGACAGTAAGATATAAGAGATTGTTATGCGAAATTCTCGCCACTATACATCAACTTCATTGATTATGACAAGGCACTTGACAGTGTGGATAGGAGAACATTATGGAAACTTCTTCGACACTACGGAGTTCCTGAGAAGAATGTCAATATTATCCGGAACTCATACGACGGACTACAGTGCAAGGTCGTGCATGGAGGACAGCCAACAGATGCATTCCAAGTAAGGATCGGAGTCAGATAAGGCTGTCTACTCTCTCCCTTCCTTTTTCTTCTGGTGGTCGACTGGATTATGGGGACCTCGACATCTGAAGGAAAACACGGAATTCAATGGACAGCTCAGAACCAATTAGACGATTTGGACTTCGCAGATGACCTAGCCCTCCTATCGCATACACACGAACAGATGCAGATAAAGACAACCAGTGTAGCAGCAGTCTCTGCATCAGTAGGCCTCAACATACACAAGGGGAAAACCAAGGTCCGCCAATACAACACGACGAACACCAATTCAATCACACTTGATGGCAAAACTCTGGAAGATGTAGAATCCTTCACATACCTGAGAAGCATCACCAATGAACAAGGAGGCTCGGATGCAGACGTAAAGGTGAGGATTGGCAAAGCAAGGGTCGCATTCCTACAATTGAAGAAAATATGGAACTCAAAACAACTTTCAACCAATATCAAAGTGAGAATCTTCAATACCAATGTCAAGGCAGTTCTACTGTACGGAGCTGAAACTTGGAGAAGTACAACAACCAACATCAAGAACGTACAAGTATTTATAAATAGCTGTCTACGCAAGATACTCAACATCCATTGGCCGGATACCATCAGCAACAGCCTTCTGTGGGAGAGAACAAACCAGCTTCCAGCTGGAGAGGAAATTAGGAAAAGACGATGGGGATGGATAGGACATACATTACTCAAATCATCAAACTGCATCACGAGGCAAGCCCTAACTTGGAATCCTGAAGGGAAGCGGAAAAGAGGAAGGCCAAAGAACAGATTACATCGGGAAATAGAAGCAGACATGAAAAGAATGA